CTCTTGCCATCACACTTTCCCAACATCAGGGTCTTTTCCAGAGAGTCTTTTCTTCTCATTAGGTGGCCAAAGTACTGGAGCCTCAGCTTCAGGATCTGTCCTTCCAGTGAGCACTCAGGGTTGATTTCCTTTAAAACTGATAGGTTTGTTCTCCTTGCAGTCCAGCGGATTCTCAAGAGTCTCCTCCAGCACCACAATTCAAAGGCATCAATTCTTCGGCGATCAGCTTTCTTTGTGGTCCAGCTCTCACTTCCATACATCACGACAGGAAAAACCATAGCTTTGACTATTCGGACTTTTGTTGGCAAGGTGATGTCTCTGCTTTTTAAGATGCTGTCAAGATTTGTCATCACTTTCATCACATAATAATGGGTGGAGAAGGACTGCGGAAGTGGGATTCTCACACACACACACACACACACACACCCGTCCTTTGTCCGTTTAACAAGCCTATTCACACCAGGGGGAAGTGAAACCACCGTGGAGGATCTATCAGAGGTTTCCTACTAACTCTCCTCAGACTGAAGAAGCTACTTGGATGAGTAGCGAAAGTTTCAACGGAACGTCATCACTTTCATCACATAATAATGGGTGGAGAAGGACTGCGGAAGTGGGATTCTCACACACACACACCCCGTCCTTTGTCCATTTAACAAGCCTATTCACACCAGGGGGAATCTTCAGAGAATCTTCAGAGACCTATTTACAAAGAGGCTGAGCACTTTGGATAGCCCCTTACGGTTCCAACTAAACCCTAAACCATGACATTAGAGCCACTAGTGTCTATTGCTGGCAACAGCTCTTTCTGAGAATTAGATCTTACAGTGTCTCATTTGCATTTCAGTACAATGATCTTTTAAAGCACATAATACTATCACAATGAAGTATTTGAAATATACTTTGGATCAACAACGATTTACCCAAAATGACACTTGAATCCAAAAGAATTTTCTGGAAATATCCAGCAATTTCTTACATAGAACTGCCTTAAAATGATACAGCACTTTTAAAAGCATATAAAGTAATCTGTAGGAAACATGAGACAGACTAATAACCTCCACAACAGAATCAAGGGGGGGGGAAGCATATTTGAAACTGGTTATGTTCAATTTCACAGCATCTTTGTTACTATCTCCCGTTCACATCACAGTAGAGAATATCAAAATAGCTACCTGCTGGGGAATTAAAGAGGACAAAGGAGGCAAACGATGGAAGAAAAGATGTTGTTTAATCCAGCAATTAAGCAAGCAAGAGAAGTCTCAAAGAAAGAAGCTGTAATAAACTTCAATACATTATACAATAATTAGCTATTATATCCTGAACTTTATGATCTAAGACTCTTCCAAAAGGTGCTTAGAACTTTTATTTATAAAAGCCTCATATCATAGTCTGATTAATATAATATAAAGTCAATTAACCATTTGCTTCATGAATGTAATTCCAGTTAAGAGCAATTGCCTAAGCTCTTTTCAATGGATTAATACCTTCTCCAATATTTGCATTGCACTTAGACCAATGAAACACAAGCACTGAGTGGTTATTCTAAAACTACTGCGGTTTATTATTTATTACTTTACACTATATGAAATAACAGTACAGTAATTGTATTTTTTCTTACTGGTACAACATCAAGGATGCATTAAGCTTGAATGGCAGCCTTTTTTATTATCCAGAAAATGTATGGTGTGTGTGGAGAGCCTGGAATTGGTGGAGAGCCTGGAAAATGTCCTTTTAGGATATCAGTTCCCAGACCCACCCTGATATCATGGTGGTTTTAGACTATAGTTCCCAGAGCCACCCTGATAGACTGGAGGTTCTGAAAGTTGTATCCCAAAATGTAACTTTTCCAGTGTCTGAGTCAGAGTTATAAAGAAGCTGACCCTTTATTTCCACTATTTTCCACTGCCCACTCTACTCATTGCAGCTGTATATATCTACTCATGCAACATACACATTTATCAAGCTATCAATAATAAAAAAATTAAGCAAATTGTGCATTTTTTAGTTCTCATGGAAGATCTGCAAGGGAAAAAATCTAGCTGGCAAGCTGAGAGACTTTCTTCTATCTGCAAATTAAATCTAGAAATACAACTCATTGGGGTTTTCACCTTTTACTTTTGCAACCTTCCATAATGTTAAATATCTTGTTTAAAACTCAGAATTGAGAGTAAAGTCTACAGTAAATAGCAGTAGGATGTTTTGCATGTAAAGTTCCTTCTCTGTAAAGGTGAAATGGAAAAGGAGTTTGAAATCTCAAAAACAGCTTGTGAGATGACATGGGGGTCCTGCATTCAAAGGAAATTTGCTAAGAGTTGGTACATTCAAACTCTTGTGCATGGCTACAATACCTCTTTAGTCACTGGTAATCAAGGAGTGTTTGTATTCGTCAAGAGCAACTAACGTTTCCGAGATAATATTTACAGTGGTGAAGATAAGTGCAATTCATTTAATAGGCACTAAATAAGCAAGGAGACTTGGGTATTGTTGGTTAACACAATGTCCCTCATTGCTCTACTTTTTGTGCCCTACATATAGAAACAACTGTATGTAATGAGCGTGAGCATCTGTTGGGATACATTAGTAAATCTTTAAATAATTTTGAAAAAGAGAAATTCACATTTTCAGTTCCATGGAAAGATGGAAATATTGAAGATATCAACATTAATTTTACAGCAAGCACAGGGATTATACTGATGCCTTACAAGAATCTTCCTTAAAAATGGATGCATTCTACTATTTTATCCTGCAGTGAAATCATAATGCTGTGCTGATGACACCATAGATGGTTGCTATGGAAACTGATATCTCAAATTCAGCATTAGGAAAGTGTTCAAACATGAGATTTCAGGAAAGACAGTTGATAATATATATTTAGTTTAAAGTTAATAACCTACCACAAGAAAACCCAACATATAAACAACAAAATCTAATTGCTTTATTTTCTTTTCTTCTTTTCTATGCAGTGCTTAAATGTGTAGGAAATAGTTTTATGACTCTACTCTTACACATAGCAGAAAAATAATTTCCAACAATTTCCACACACAATCTTCCATCAGTCTAAAGAATTTCCTATGTAACATACCAACTGTAACAGGAGAACAAATAAGCCAACAAGAGGAGTTTCTTTTGGTGTGGTGTACAAACTATAGAGAACACAAATTATACAATGCTCCAGAAAATAATTGAGAGAACACTTACAATGAACCATGAAGAAGCCAGTTGTGTTTCCTGTGTACAATTATACTCATTGCTCTTTGTGCTATTGCTATAGAAATTGTAATAAAAAATCCTAAATGAAATCTCTATACGTGTTTTTAAAATGCCAACATTTTTGTTTTCAATCTACAGAAAACTTCAATAAATTAAGAAGTCACAGAGAACATTATTAAGAACAATTCATAAAACTTGCACCATTGGCTGAAATCCAATATAAAGTCAGGAGTAGGCCAACTGAATCAATGGGATTTGGTGAATTAGCTCTTCCATAAGGTTCAATGGCTTATTCTAGTTGCAATTTACTACTGGATTTCAGTCATTATTTACGTTTTAATACTTCAGTTCTCTGATTTGCTTGGTAAGATTACAAGTAAGAAGGATCTTGGAGTTGTTGTAGATCAAAAGCTGAATATGAGCCAATAGTGCAATGTGGCTGCAAAAAAAGGGAAATGCTATTTTAGGATGCCTTAACAGAAGTACAGTCGTGCCCCGCTGGACGATTACCCCGTATAACGAAGAATCCGCTTAACATTGAAGTTTTTGCGATTGCAAAACGATGGTTTAAATGGTTTTTTTTCGTTTCACGATGATTAGTTCCCTACTTCGGGAACCGATTTTCGCTTTACGACGATCATCAAACAGCTGATCGTCGGGTTTCAAAATGGCCCCTGGCTGAAGAAAATGCCCCCCCGCTGTTTTTAGGACTGATTTTTCGCTTAACAGGCACCAGAAAATGGCCACCGTATGGAGGATCTTCGCTGGACGAGCAGGTATTCAGCCCATTGGAACGCACTGAACGGTTTTCAATGTGTTTCAATGGATTTTTCTATTTCGTTTGACGTTTTCGCTCTACAGCGATTTCGCTGGAACGAATTAACGTCGTCAAGTGAGGCACCATTGTACAGTTTCAAAATCCCATACATACTAAGTCCCTTCTGTTCAGCACTGGTTAGGCCTCATCTAGAATACTGAGTCCAGTTCTGGACATAGCACTTTAAGGATCCAACAAATTGGAGCAAGTTCAGAGGGCAACAAGGATGATCAGGGGACTGGAAACCAAGCCCTATGAGGAAAGACTGAAAGAACTCAGCATATTTAGCCTTGAGAATAGAAAACTGAGGGGAGATATGATAGCACTTTTCAAATACTTGAAAGGTTGTCATACAGAGGAGGAGCAGGATCTGTTCTCGATCACCTCAGAATGGGGACACATAATAATGGGCTCAAGCTACAGGAAAGCCAAATGTAGGCTGAATATCAGGAGAGACTTCTTAACTGTTAGAGCTATACGACAATGAAAGCAATTACCTCAAGAGGTAGTGAGTGCTCCAACGCCGGAGGCATTCAAGACAGAACTGGACGATCATCTGTCAGATCTGCTTTGATTTGGGTTCCTGCACTGAGCAGGGGGCTGTACTCAATGCCCTCTTCCAATTCAATTATTCTGATTCAGTACCTTCATACCAAGAAATGTTTCAGCTTCGCAGCATTTTAAGATCTTGTGTGAGCAGTAGTACTATTTATTTATACCACATATTCAGAGACTTACAGAGACAAAAAGGATTCTGAACAGTCACCCATTCTAACAAAATCACACACCTACATTTCCCAACAAGCAGGTAAGAAGGGTTTCACTGATGAACTCAGAGTGGAGACAGGTTTCCACAGAAGTCAGTCCTTCGTGTTTTACACTCTGTCCTCCTACAGTATACTGTTTATTTGAAAAGATTTTATTTTATTAAAAGACAATATGCGTAATCAGAATGAAAAATCTTGATTAGTCTTCACCTCTACTATTATGCTCAAATCTTGCCATCTCCACCTCCTACGTCTAGAGATATGGAGCACACAAGCATATACAGCAGGGAAGTTCTTTCCACTGCTTCAGACTATTAATTTTGTTCCAAGACTTTCAGCATGCTAGTGTAGAAATAATCCTCCCTCCATCCCTGCACGGCAGAAGTCTTGGAAAATACATGAAATCTAGAACAAACTGAATGATCTCCAGATGCTACAATACATTCTAGACTGACTCATGGAAGTGTAAACAAGTTCACTCTACCTTCTACTAAGCCAATTATGATGAGAATTTAATGGTTTTCTAAATCAAATTTTGGCATAAGACAGGTTTTGTTTTACTCCGATATACTGCTTTGGCCTTGTGTATTTATTTAAATAATTTTTTAAATATATATGAAATGAATTGCAAACTACAGAAAATCTGCTCTTTAACAAGATTGCAAAGTATGTTATAGTGTATAACATCAGTCACACCATTACAACATTAATTAGTCACATCTTTGGGGTGTTTATCCCTAAGATCATACTAATAGTGACATTCACCACAGCACATTGCTAATTGTGTTTCCTTGCACCTTTGACATCCCACCCATATTCCTTCAGCCGTATACTTAGCAATTTTATTTTTTCCCTTTCACATCTTCTTCCTGTTTATCAGAACACTTCTATAGCTGCTAACTTGGTGTCATGATTCTTTCTATTTTACTTGTACTAATTAGTCTCCTTTTTTCACTCCTCCTGCTTTCTGAGAGGTGTTTGATTCCTCATTCTCTTTTAAAACTCTCAATTTCTTTGCTCCATTCTATGTTTCTATTCTTCCTGCCCAACTTATTATCTATATCAGCTATTATTAATCTTCCTTGTTTCCTTCTACTGCTCTCACCCTCATGCCACAGTTTTTCTTATGTTTAGAATGAGCTTTCCCCCCTTTTCCTAGAAAAAGCTTGTCTCTTCTTCATGCCATGCACATTTGTATTTCACATGCCAACATAACAGCACTGTTACAAACTTAATTCAAAACATACTTTAAGGCTGAAATTCTGTAATCTTCCTTGGGAGTAGGAGTCACAGAACTCAAGGGGCACACTTCTTAACATTTTGTACAGAAGCACTGTGTAAACAATAGTTGTAATACACAACAGCCCAGTCCAGTTTAGAGCAACTCTTTTGAATCAGTGGGACCACAAATGTACTGACTTATTCAGCAACTGATTCACTGGATCTATGCTACCTTGGACAGGCATTTGGATTTAAGCCAATGACACATATTAGTCATGATTACTGTAAGTCCAAAGGATTCCAATAAGCCCAACAGCCCAAACAACTAAGTATGGATCCAACCATATGTTATTGACACACTATTCAGAAAAGCAAAAGATCTAACTGTGCTTGACCACTACATTGGGAGGGCACAGCAATCTGGAGCAGATTTTTTTTTCTGTGGGGCAGAAACCTTCAAGGAGATGGGATATGGCTCAAGTCCTGTTCTGCCAGTGGAAGTCCACTAAAATTATCTTAGACTTTCGCTTTGATGTGTATGCACAAATCACAACAATGTTTTTACTTGGAAAAACAGCATTTATGTTAAGGAGGTTTCTGCTAAGTGCTTTCTTCCTGTTTTCCAATGAGCTTGGTTGGTAAGGGTTAAGTGTGTGCACTTGACTCTTCCTCTGAATTCCATTTCCAGGGAAAGCCTAAAGCAGATTAAAATGTGTCAGAAACTTCAAAGCAGTACCCTGTTCTTTCAAAGAGGTTTTCATGTACCACACACACATACAATTGAACACTGCAAGCGATTCTTGACTACATGACAGAGATGCAATTTGATAAAAAGCCTCTCAAGATTTAAGGCCAAAACTGTGCAAAACTATACCATCAGCACTTCCGTCCATTAATTCCCTCTCATCTCATCTTACAGTGGCTTTTTCTTTTATTGAGCTTTTCAACGATGTAATAATGTGTTTCTTACCATTTCTATGAGACACCACATGTTCTCCCGATGAAGGTTCATTTTCTTTTTCCTTTGTGGCGCTTGGGATGTTTTCTTTTTCAAGCAATCTATCCACCATTGCAATTATGCAATTTAAACTTTTCCCCACATTGGTCCACACCCTGTCCTGAAAAAAGGATTAGTATCACTACTCAATATTAAAATATGTGTTGAAATTCACAATTCACTGACCCTTTTTATATCACAGTACATTTTAAAAGGTAAAATAATATTACACTAATAGGGCTCCATTCTTGAACTTACTTACACAGAAGAACCTTGCTACTAATTTTAAAGGAATATCTCTGGAATAATGTGTTTTGAGGTTGCCATTGAATTTAGGCTGACTGTAAGGTATTCATGAGGTAGCCATTCAAGAGATAGCTAGTCTGTTTTAGCCAAAACAAAAATTTCTCTCATGTCTTAAAGATTGACATTCATATTGTTGCATCTGTTTTCACAGATCACAGCCCTCATTTGATCAAATGTTTGAAATCCAGCAATGTCTTCGCTGAGACCAGCCAACATTATTTATTTATTACAGGGTCTTTCTAATGCTGTGTATACAAAGATCAGGATGAGGTATAGTCAATAAAAACAGCTTTAAAACTATTTTAAGATAATTTAAGTAATTAAAAACAGTTCAATATAGTCCTAATTAAACCACACAAAAAAGACCAAGACCAATCACTAAAGTCCGGAAGTTTTGAGTTTACCATAACATTGCAAGACACCTGAGGGTGCCTGATTTCCCCCCACCCTTTCTTTGTATTACTCATCTCATTATCTCTCAGTGACTTCCCTGGTTTCCCTGATCTGAAAAAGCCTTGCAGAAGAACGGACCTTATGACATCTTCCCCTGGGCTTTAACAGAAGTTTGGAAGCAGTGGGTGCTGTTAGCTGGCACAGAGTTGCTTGGTCCAGGCCACCCAGCAATAAAGCCAAACCTGTCTGTGTTCTATAATCAGTACTGAATTCAAGCTGAAATGGATCTGACAGTCTATCTCATCCAAGTACAGTATTTCTGGAATTGGGAAGCTGCCACAAACTCCAATACTTGCATGAAATACTACAGACTGGCCCATAAGGTATCTACTCCCTTCTCTTACTTGGCCAGACTTCCTCTTGCTGTGTTTATGAGCTAGGAAGGGCAAGGATCAAACCTGCATATGATGGCTCACAACTGTCCAAGGATCCTGCTCATATCCTCAGTCTGCAGAAACTTGAACATGTCCATTATCACAGGATAAGCAAGTAGCACAGTTGCATCTACAAGACTTGTATCAACCACACCATTCACATTAGAATGGATTTGAACTATTTCACCTGCAATTTAGTCAACTTGAGGAATCTCCATAAATCTGCCTCCATAAATCTGCCTTCAGAATCTTTTGAAGTTCCTCCTTCATACTCCCTAGGAAAAAAAAGCTGCTCAGCAAAATTATTTTCAAATAATTCACTGCGACTACCTCTTTGTTACCATTAGTACAAGGTTTAGGGACTTTGCGAAGGAAGCAAAATAATAACTAGGCTGCCCACAGAGCTGCTGTTGTTGTCACTTGCAACAATGCAACAAACCTTTGAGGAAAAGGAAGTGGAAAGAAATTGTTGGTGATTTGTTCTTCTCCCTGGAGAAATTTGGTCATGATTGTCCCAATTTCTCTTCTACAAATAGGGAAGAACACTTCAAAATACCATTTATGCACAACTGCTGGATTCTCACTTGTCTGTCCAGTGACAACAACAAGGTTAATATTGTCAACAGTGGTTCTGTTGGAATGGACCAGAGCTAACAGGCTCAAACTCAACCTGGGCAAGACAGTGTGATTCTGTTCCTGGCCCGGGGGGGGGGGAAGGCTCTGAAAAGTTGGGGAGGGTTATTCCTAGACTGGATGGCCTCACCCTTCCGTTTAGAGATCGAGTTTGCAATTTGAGCATTTTTCTGGACCCGGCTCTTTCGTGAGACTCCCAGATCTCAGCTGTGTCCAAATTGGCTCTTAATCACCTTAGGGTTATCACCCAACTCTGTCCCTACCTAGATGAGGGCTTCCTCAGGACATTGGTACAGGCACTGATATTCTCCCAGCCTGAATGCTACAATGCTCTCTACATGGGGCTGCCCATGCGGAAACTCTAGACCACGGCAGCCAGGCTGGTGACTGGGGTGGGCAAATTTGACCACATCACCCTAGTCCTGGCTAGCCTTCACTAGTTATCTGTTGTGTCCCGGATCAGGTTTAAGGTTTTAACACTTACATATACAGCCCTCCGCAGTTTGAAAACTACGCATGTAGTGTCTTTCCTGAATATCATCTGCCTAACACACCAGAGCCTTCCAGGCCAGGCTCTTCCATGTAGCCATCTCAAGAGAGGCCCAGGAATCTTCTACTAGGCATAGGGCCTTCTCAGTGGTGGCACCAAGGGTATGGACCCAACTTCCAGAGGAGCTGTGCCTGACCCCCTTCCTGTACTTATTTAGGAGGCAGCTAAAAACACTACTTTTCAGGGATGCCTTTCACACCGGCCCTGGATGAACTTCCTGCCTCCTTTCAGGCTGAGAAATGACTGCACCACTGTTTTTTTTCTTTTTAGACTTCATTTTATTATTGCTATTACATTTTAGTGTTTAGTGTTTTTTTTTTGCCATCCATCCATCCATCCATCCATCCATCCATCCATCCATCCATCCATCCATCCATCCATCCATCCATCCATCCATCCATCCATCCATCTGCCCGCCCACCCACAAAATATCAGAGAGAAAGCAGAATATTTCTGAAAGGATAAAAGAGTTGTATAAGTACATTTTAGCCCACCTCTTAAATAAAGTGAGGAGCCTCCTTCAAATGGCAAAGCACCAGAAACAGGTAGAAAAATGTGTCACCTCCTACTAGTGACCTGGTCAGCCTTTCTCTCAGGAGTTGTATATGCACCACTCACCTTAAGAGTTTGAGAACGATGCATTACAGGTGGGATGCTTCACGACAATGGTTCCCAAATATAGATAACCTAAGTGTTCTTGGACTGCAACTCCCAGAAGCCTTCACCACTAGCTGTGCTGGCTGGGGTTTCTGGTAATTGCAGCCCAAGAACATCTGGGTTATCCAAGGTTGGGAACCACTGCTTTAGAAGCCTGCCTGTGTTCGTGCTTTGTGAACCTAAGAGTACCTTCCAAAGGGCCTGCCTGAGCCACCCACCCTCTCTCAAATTGAGGCAGGGGATTTCTCACAGCAGTGATAGGGATTGTATAACACATACGAAATATGTGTGAAATGGTTCTCCTCCTGCACAGATGATAAGAGTACAGACCACCACTGGTAGATTTCCAATTGGAAAAAAACTATACCATGATGACATATTTAGAGGGTATAACAAGAGTGTAAACCAGAACATGGCTCAGCATGAAAACATTTTTTTTAAAAAGATAATTTTCTGCCAGGTACTCACTGAAGTGTACTCATCATTCCAACCAATCATTCTGCATTGCCATTTTTGTACAAAGCTATATTTTGCATAAATTACTCTCTGTAAATAACACTTTTGTTTGTTTGCTATTTCTGACTATGTCATTTAATAGTGGATAATTTACCCGCTATCTAGGTCATATTCAGAATGTACTCCACGAACAAAGACCTCACAATCAGCTATTAGTATGGTCAATTCTGGATTCAGAAAGAAAAATAGGAGGGGGGTATGATTATCAGCTGAAACCTCTTGAATTCATTTTTTAAAAAGCAGAGAGCAATGAATAATTTATTCTCCCTGGGAAATGTGATCAGAACATGCACATATATACTGTAAGTAAGTCTGGTTTTAAAAATATTAGCTTCCCACGTTCTGAAAAACCCTGCTAGAAATGTTTTTCTAAAGGCCACATTTTCAGATCTAGTTTTGTAAATCGATACATGCTTACTGGAACAACAATGAATCCCAGTGGAAGATTTATATCAATAACTTTCTTTCCATCTAGTGACAAGTCACTACTCCGAGCAGTTAAACAAAGAAATTACCATATTTTTCCATGTATAAGACACTGTCCCCCTTTTGTAACCCAAAAGTAAGAAATTAATATTTTAAACATAAAACAGAATACATTTTAACTTACTAATGAGGTAGTATTTACACCTCAGATATGCAGATGATGCCACTCTGATGGCAGAAAGTGAGGAGGAATTAAAGAACCTCTTAATGAGGGTGAAAGTGGAGAACACAAAAAATGGTCTGAAGCTCAACATCAAAAAAACTAAGAACATGGCCACTGGTCCCATCACCTCCTGGCAAATAGAAGGAGAAGATATGGAGGCAGTGACAGATTTTACTTTCTTGGGCTCCAGGATCCCTGCAGATGGTGACAGCAGCCATGAAATTAAAAGCTGCCTTCTTCTTGGGAAGAAGGGGATGACAAACCTAAATACCATCTTAAAAAGCAGAGACATTACCTTGCTGACAAAGGTCCACATAGTCAAAGCTATGGTTTTTCCCGTAATGTTGTATGGAAGTGAGAGCTGGACCATGAAGAAGGCTGACCACCAAAGAATTGATGCTTTTCAATTGTGGTGCTGGAGGAGACTCTTGAGAGTCCCCTGGACTGCAAAGAGATCAAACCTATCAGTGAGTGCTCACTGGAAGGACAGATCCTGAAGCTGAAGCTCCAATACCTTGGCCATCTCATGAGAAGACTCCCTGGAAAAGACCCTAATGTTGGGAAAGTGTGAAGGCAAGAGGAGAAGGGGACGACAGAGGACAAGATGGTTGGACAGTATAACTGAAGCTGCCAATATGAATTTAACCAAACTCCGGGATGCAGTGGAAGACAGGAGGGCCTGGCATGCTCTGGTCCATGGGGTCACGAAGAGTCAGACACGACTTAATGACTAAACAACAACAACCCAGCTTGTGCCTTAAAACTGGCCACAGACTTCCTAACAGACCCAGTAACAGGTACAATGAAGTTTGAGGGACCATGACAGGGATTCTTCTTCAGTGGCCCCTGCCTCTCAAATTCCTTTCCTCAAGAAGCATGTTTGATTTCTCATTTTCATTTAGATGACTCTAAGGAGGTAAAGGGATGTGGTGGCACTGTGGGTTAAACCGCAGAAGCCTGTAAGTGACGGGAGTGAGCACCCA